CAGAACTCAATGATATCATGAATGAGTCCTTTTGTGAATCTACGGTTTTGTTCACTGTGACATGGGCCGTGCACGTCTGCTGCATGAGTCATGAAATGTTGCGAAACCCACGCACAGTGGCAGACAAATGGAAACTTCTGCATGAAAGAGTGAAATGTTTCAGATGTGACTCAACACATACAGTAATCTGAGGCCAACAAGGGATAAACAAACACGGAGAGATGCTTCACTGAGCTGCAGGATTCACCTCCTCAGGTCATCACGTCACACCACACGGACGTTACTCTGCACAGTCTGCATGTTGCACAGTCGTACACTTGAATTGGTTGATTTTCACACTTCCGGTTAGAAACTACACGTTATCATCTGAGTGTTTACTTTTCAATGACAACAGAGTTTAATCTGATCTCGTCTGATTCCACCAAAAAACAGTCAAATGACAGTACGTGATTTATTGCACCAACATGGCTGGTTCTGGAAGAAAGACGTTATAACACAAACGGGCGACGTTTAAGGCTGAAAAAAAAAGCAGCAAATGGAGTTAAATCCTGCCCTGGGATTATCTCCCATCTCACGACACTTATTCCGGTCACGGTTGGTCGGGCTCTCATGCATCTCCGAGTCGAGTTTAAAAAAAACGTCAATGTGTTTCCTAACGCCGGTTAGAAGGGGCAGTTGCCCGGCGTCGTGACTTACTGTGAATCCTGCTCTGCTCCTCTCTGCACCGGCTAGTACACGGACACCTCCGCGGCCAAACGCTGCAGGAATAATAGGAGTAAAGTTCAGTTTTTCTCCTCTTCGCCGATCCGCTCATTCACAAAGCAGTACTTTCTCCCTCCCTCGTCTCCTCCTCCTCCCCCTGATGGACTGTGGGCGGTCAGACTAACACTGACTGTGGGGGTTGAAGATGAAGATCATGTTGGAGCGTCACTTGTCTTCCCCAAACTCCACTTGTTGCGCCAGGATCATCTTTCATATGGTCTTCTTTAATTTTTCTTTCTTTTTATTTGTTTTTCTCTCTCCAGCAATGTGATGTTAACAAACCATTTTCAATTACTGCGTTGATGTAAGAGACCAAATCAAACACTTTTAGTGATATTTGGTCAAATCTAGTGGTGTTTCTTGTAGTTGTCACAGTCTGCTCCTTGAATGTCCCTTGTGCTTTTGCTCCTTTGTTCAACTCCTGCCTTTATTCCTTTAATCTGCTCAACCACTGCCACCTATATGTTCAGTTGCACTCCCTTGACTCTCTTGCCAGATTTCCTTTGCTTTATGAGCACTTCACTGAACTTGTTCTTTAATCCAGACCTGACTTGCCCGGGACATTGCCTTGTCTAAGCTTCAGTAGCTGAAGTGCTCTGTTTGCTTCTAATAAAGACTGAGTTCATCCCACGTGGTGCTGCTGCTGTTGGGTCTTTTTCATACCCGTGACAGTAGTAATAGAGAAACTTCACTTTTCAATATAAGTTCATATTAAGTTATGTTTTAAGAAGTTATTAGTTTTTCTTATAGCTATTCTCTGGTTAGTGACTTTGCAAACGTTTTGGAAATATGGTTTTTGTGTTGAGGGTATTATTATTATTATTATTATTGCCCTTTTTGCTATTTTTTTAAAACAGTTTTTTACTAAATGTTTATTATGTTTTATGAGTAATTCCTTTCTATCTAACCTTTCACAAAGTTTTGCTCAACATTTGTTAAAGTGAGTTTTTCACTAGCTTTTTTGCTCATATCTATAAATTTGTCAGTATAATTTCATCAAATATTCAGCTACAGTGTTTTAAGGAAACCTCGAGCAGCACAGTTGGAAGATTAAACTGTGAAATGATGCCGTTAGCAGCTTTTGAATGGGTCTTGTAGCCAATCCTGGGAATGTTTTCAAGGAGTCCTCCTGACCTGCACTCTTGTGAAAAAGAGATGGAACTTCAATGAGACGTCTAGGTCCTGCCCAACACAGTTTACAGCCTGTGTTAAAATGTTTCTCAATGCACCCTTCATCTGCAGTCGCAGTGTTGGACCTATTAATTTCAGGAATTCCAGTTGAGTCTCCATGTGACCTATTCCTCGGAAATGTGATTGTTGCCCATACGTCAATCTTAATAGATTCACCAATTTAAGCCATGCCCGTTGTTAAGTTTTTTTTTTTTGATGAATCGAAAGATGGTGGTGAAAGGAAGGAAAAAAAGAAGAAGATGATAAAAGAAGAAGAGGAAAAAGGGAAGGAGGAGGAGCAAACAGTCAAAAGGAAACTTGTGCTTTGACTGAAAAAAATCTCCATGTGTCTAAAAATGGAATCCTAAAATAATGGTGCGAGCAATCCCTTTAAAACCAGTAAGTTGACTTAAGGATAGGGAAATTCTACCGTTTAGTTAACCAACCAAGCTAACAGTAAATGTTGAATTTTCTCCTTTAATTGGATGTATATCTATATATATTTCAAAATAAATACAGTTTGTGTGAAAATTTAAATAATTGGAAAACATTCTATACTCTAACTTTAGATAATTTATTTTATTTTTTACTTAAATCACGCATTTGATTAATTAAAGCCTGTTGAGCTCAGGTTGAGGAACGAACACATGTCGGTTCATTTAATTATTCATGTGCCCGAGCTCATCTCCTGGCAGTGGGATAAAACCTCCAGCAATGTGATTTATAGCTCTGCTGGGATTTTAGAAAAATGTCTTCAGTAATGGCCTCACTGGGTTTTGACTCCCCCCTCTCCCTCTCTCTCTTGCATTCGCTCCCTTGCACGAGCAGGAAGAAGCTAAAACTCCCAGTGGAATTATTTACACAGACGTGACCACAGAAAAGCCCTCCCCCCGACCCCCCCCACAGTTCTGAGAAGTTTTTTTATTCATGTGTCCTGAGTTTCATTTCTGCCCGACCCAAAACACTGTAGTCATGAAAACCACAGCTGTGCTAAAAATGAAACCTATCTGAATTGGGATTAATTGGCATTCTAACTTTTTTTCAATTTTATTATTTTTTATGAATTATAAGACAAATCTACAGAAATGAAGTGGAATTATTATTGCCATCTCGCATTACCAAAGTTGATATTACATCATCAAATAATTTAAGGCTTTTTAAATGTAATTAGTGTAAATATTGTTGTAAACAATAACTTTATTTTATTTTTTGATTTATATTTCTCAGGATTTTCAGTTGATCAAACTTTTAACCTTTCTTCACTCAAGTTAGGATTGTAAAATGTGTCCTTGTTGTCTTTATCATTGTCAATCTTTATTTGGTGACTCATCTCTTTTGCAGCCTGCACACATTCTGAAGTTCTGGATCCTCCACCGTTTTCCTGTAGTATCTAATATTTCAACGCTGTCTGGTCTTACAACCAGGTTCTTTATTTTATGCTTCCGTTGATGGCAGATGTGCCTTTTTAATTATATCACCATTATTTGTTTTTATATGTATTTGTATATATATTATATAAATTATATAAATCAAGTGACAATAATAAAAAAAATTAAAAAAAAGTCACATACATTACATTATGCTCATCTATTAAGATAACAGAAAACTGTCTCCAGTTGTTGTTACTCCACAGGTTTTTGTTACATCAGTAATCTGAGTTTCATGCAGGCTCAGAACCACCTTTTCCATTATTGTACACACCAATGACATTTGACCCTTACATTCAAACCATCTCTAGGGAACAGTGGACATAGAGTAAAGGACTTGGTGCTTGAGCAGAACACCACAGACTGCACAACTGACCGATTAGAGGGATGTTCCACTGTCTTGTTGACTCTCATTTTGTGTTGCTAATGCTGTTACTAAGATCTGAATTTCAAACAAATATATTACTACAGACTTCAAACTCCACATATCATGTCAAGGAATTGTTACTGGTTATACTGTATGGCAATACACCAGCGATAGAAATAACACCCCCAGGTGGGTTCAGTAAGAAATAGAGGTGGAGTCTGTTGGCTCAGAAAGGAAGTGACAGTTGACTTCTTTTTTCTCCATAAATGGACTTTACTCTGTCTTTTCTTGCACAATGATGATGTCGAAGACAGTTTATATTTTTAATGTGCTATAACTGCTCTTCCTCTTTATGATAGATGGGCCAATCTGATAAGTTTTATCTTTAGCACTATCTGTATGTTGCTTTGACTGTTTTTTATGAGAAGTAGACAAAAAAGAAATTCCCTTCAAAATGCTTGGTATTGCCATCAGTGGAGGAAGTGCCCATTGTTGTCTCTGTTTATATCACTGATATACATTGTTTTATGTGTACTACGCATTTGTGACGTCCCACAGTCTGCCTAATATATTTAATATATGTGTGACATATTTATTCTTTCAGAACAGTCATGAAAGCGCAGAAAAAATGTACTGGGCGAGGCAGGCAGTACCCCACCGCAGTGATAGAGGGCAGTGATGTGCGGTTAGTTTTATGACTGACAGTGCTGAGCCCCTCAGGCACAATGAGTAACAGGTGCGTCCTCTTCTACGCAGTTTGTTTGTTTGTTTGTTTGTTTGTTTTAAATTATATATATTATATACTGTGTCATATAAATGGATGACACCACCATTTTTTCCCCCGAGAAAAACTGAGGTATTAGACCGAGTAAGACTCTCCAGCTGACGCTGCAATGTGTGAGAATGGTAACAAATAGAAAATGTCAACAACTTGTATAACGTCTGTATAATGTGATGTTCAAGTAGTATCGGAAAGTTGAGAATCTGAGTAAAACAGAGCGTTTGGACCAGGGCTTTTGACAGGATTAAAAAAGTGTTGTGTTTCTTAGTCCTCGGGGTATTGTGACCGAAGTATGTGACAGACGTTTCTTTAAGACACCAAGGAACTGATTTAATAAGAAGAAAAGGTGCACAATACGTAAATGTTTCAAATAAGGTCAAACTTAAAATATAAGGTTCTATTTTGGGTTCGTATATTTGTACGTTAGAGTCCAGTGTCTCACCAGGCGTAACCCTCACCGTACCTCACTGGGTTTAGCTTCTTTAAGCTGAATGTGCTTAAATTCTAATTCACATTTTTACATTTTTCATTTATTTCTCTTCTGCTACTAATATTGGACCTGTGAAGCACCAACCACTCCGCCATGTGGCTCTAACGTGATATAATCCAACTTAAACCTAAACTGTATGCAGTTGAATAGCGGTGTATAAAGCACTACAAGTGTGTGATATCTGTTATCCGTTCTTTGGAAAATTGACCCTTTTTTTGCAGGTTGAGCGTAATCCACATGGATTTGTGTGGTTTAATCTGCCAGCAGATGGCAGCAAAGATCTGAGAACGCACTATGGGCATGTGGACAAAATGAAACAATCCCCCTTGGGGAAAAAACAATAATGACTGTTATATTAGAAGCCCCGTGAGGTTAAGGTGTTTGAACAGAGATGGGAAACAGATCCTGCTGTGAATCAACAGTGTTCTGTTTGACAGAGACTTTGTGTTGTTTTGACACAGTGAAAAGGTCAGAGGAAATGTTAATGATTCTTCCTGTGGGTTTGTTTGTTTGTATGTATGTGGTGCCTGTGAGAGGCTGGAGGCTTTTGACCATTTAATTCACTGTCAGAATGTGGCTCACTGACAGTTTGTTTAACTCATTTGGCAGAGGCTGTTCCTGTGACTCACTCCTGAGATGACACGTCATGCAGACATATCTGAGACATACAGGTACTGTCAGAAGAAGAGAGCTGATGTTTACTAACTAACTAACTAAAGCTTTTAAATATTACATTTTGTAAGACATTAAAGAAAAATTATATAACTAAAGCTTTTAAATATTACATTTTTTAAAAAAGACATTAAAGAAAAATTATCCTAAAGAGGAAAAACAAGAGGCTAAATTTAATTATTACTAACTTGAATCATCTATTCTAGGAAAACTTTCAGAGATGTGTTTCTTGTGATTTAGGAAAATATACTGAGCTGAATTCCAAAGATAGGATAAGACTTTATTGATCCCATACTGCAGTCATACAGACACATAAGTGAATTGAAGTACATTCTAAAGGACTAAGGTTGTACCAGTATATGTAATTCAAACCTTTTGCTTCTTGCTTTTTAAATCTGTTAATGGCAGCGGCAAAGAAAGTGCCAGATGACAGTGGGTCCTGGACGAACCCAGGACCCCAATTACACATCTCTGTGTCAATATACACAGACAGAACGTCATTTAAAATCACCTGCACCACTAGGTCACACTGCAGTCTCTGATTTGTTTTTTCCCTTCCCTTTTTTCTAATATAAAAACCTAGTTGGACCAAAATATTCCACACTGAATATTTTGGCCAACGTACGTGAGCTTGATTTTGAAATGCTGATTAAAATGTTGTAAGTCTGATTAAATCGTTACATCAGATAAAAGTAATGAGATTAGGCTGTTGGAATTATTAGTA